GCCTTTCCTGGCTTGAGTGTCGAAGGCTGGCGTGTTGCTATGATGCTCAGCAGAGCTCCCAGACTGACAGCTAGGAAGGCCTGCTGATCCACTTCCAAACACCGGCCAGTGAAACCCCATGGACCACAATGGGCCTACTGGTAATTGATCCTGGGGCTGGTCCAGGACCATGAAGCATTTTGTTTTCATTGTGCCTGGGGAACCCAAGAGTTGGGGACCGAATCAACAGCAGCTAACAACTCATGGTGAAATGTAAAGCTTTTGGAGCAAGGACGGAGCCTTCAAAGCACACAGGTTAAGGGCCTTGGCTGCTAACTGAAAGGGCAGTGGTTCAAACACATCAGCTGCTCCACGGGAGAAAGATGTGGGCAGTCTGCTTCCGTAAACATTACAGCCTTGGAAACCCTATGGGGCAGTTCTACTCAGTCCTATTGGGTCTCTATGAGTTAGCATTGATGCAACAGGTTTTTGGTTTGGGGCTTGGAAGTGTTTTAGGACTGCCCGTTCCCAGGATCACTCATATCCCAAAATGCCACCCAAACATCTTCAAAGGAGGCCACCAGAAAACTAGACTGTCTCTCTAGTCTCTTACTTTCTTAGGAACCTGAATCTTACTTTCCTCATCCAAGGTGGGCCATTCTACCCATGAAATCTTCCTAGCACAAAAATGTCTGGCAGTGCAGACATGTTCAACAAAGAGTCACTGCATAAATATAATCGTTAAGGAACCTATAACTAGCTCAGGAGGGCTACTTTTTTTAGACAATTCTAAAAAATTTTATGTTAGAGAAAGCAAATACAAAAGCTAAGCATTAAAATGTAAAAGAAAATCAAGTGTGGTAAGAAGAACAAAAAAGACCATTTCTTTATAATGTAAGACATTTATTTTTGGTTACAATTTTTTGTTTTAACACTGATTTGTGATACAACAGACATTAAGCTTTCTTTTTAAACAACTGGACAGCTCACCCTTTTCTTTCCAGGAAATGCATTCTTTCACAATCAAACTACCCAAAAAAGGTGGCAGGAGGTAAGAGGGGACAAAAAGTAAGCTTCATTCCACTGGTCTCAACTTGAGATGGCTTCTCTATTTCTAATCAAGATAAAAATCTTAACTTGGAAGGACCATCATTGTTAATTCCTCAATGATTCTGACAAAGAAATCTTCCTGCGAGAGAAGAGCATATCTTCACAAATGAGATCAGTGCTTATCTTAACTAAAAACGTTAGCATCTTAAACTTGTGACTCCAGAGGTACCCACATTCCCACTTCAAACCATCCATCACCGCAGGTGCAACAGCACCACCTGCTGGCCACAATGTTATTTGTACATACACTATCATTGTCAGTGGCATTAAATCCCAAGTGGGGATTCTTAGAGAATTCTACAAAGTCAGAGCCAGAAGGAACCTGCATCTTCCAGATGAGGCCCCGTGTTTGAATGATGTTGGCTCCTGCTCTCAATATGAGTCAGAAAACCATCCCAGGGAAAGCTGTACTGCTTTAATATTAAGACCATTTGGCACCCTAATTTTGCCTGGATGGGGCTCTATTAATCAAAGAAAGGGATCAAGGCGGGGGGAGGGTGGATAGGGAGGCATCCCATGTTTCCACTCCATCACTTCCCAGGAGGTAGGAAGCTGTCCAAGCACAGATCACACCCCCAGCTGGGTGTGTGTCAGCTCTTACACAGTAAAATTTTGTTTTCTTTTACTTCCTGGGTTAAATCTCATGAAGTAAGTATAGGATTTCTGAGACTAAAGAAATCCCAAACTCTCAGCATAAAAATAGCTCCCCAATAAAGGCAGTCACCTCCCAATAACCTTTTCTGTCTGAGGTTTCCACAAAGAGGCCTTGGAGAGGTCCTTATTAAATAGTCTTAGCCCTTAAAGGCCAGTCTCAACCACACCAACCTGCTGTGTTCACTTACGTAGCTTTGACTGTCCATGTGGAGGACCACTGCCTGACGTGGGAGGGGACCCCAGCCTAGCTCCTGAGCCTCATCCTGGGGGATGTGCTAGCTCTCTTCCACCCTTATCCCCACCACCGCTGGCAAACACAGCTTGAGGGGTGTCCTCTGGGAGCCTTGTGCACCTAGGGTGGGTCAAGGATATGTGGAGCCCACCAGACAATCCCAGGGTAGGGGCTGAAGGACCAGGGACTTAAGTCTTGAGGAAGAACCCCAAAACTAAACCCACCGCCCTCAAGTCAATTCCAACTCACTGCAACCCTGTAGGACAGAGTAGTAACTCTTTACAGAAGGTTGCTTTACAGAAGCAGACTGCCACATCTGTTTCCCACAGACCAGCTAATGGGTTCGAACCGCTGACCTTACAGTCAGCAGCTGAGCTTGAGGAAAAGCATGGTGTGAAAGGAAGACTTCAGCCTCAGAGAGCAGGAGGCCTGAAGTTGTGCCTCCACTCTGCCTCAAACAGCCAGGCAGCCCTAGAGGTCACACCTTTAATCATTTTGAGCCCAGTTTTTTTTTTTCTTTAAGGTAACAAAACACTAATAAGCTCTAGTAACTTTACAAGGTTATGGTGAGGCTCAAGTTAGGTGAAACGGGAAAGTTATCTGAGAACTGGAAAGTGAGGTACATAGTTTAGAGCTGTGGCTATGTCACTCAGGTGGGTCTGGCTGGACAGCTAGCTCTCTAGAAAAGAGGACAGAGTCCTGTTTCCTCCATGACCACAGGGCTGCTGTGGTCACAGAAGGAAAGAGGACAGAAGTGAACCTCCCGAGACAGCCAGGTCCCTGAAGAGCAGCCTCACACCATGAGCGAAGCCCTAAGGCACCCCCTGCTTCCATCGGAGCCCAGTCTCCTTTTCCTAGATGGAAACTCCTCGGTAAACTTCAGAAAAGGCACATTCACCATCCTGACATGGTAACACTTCTTAAACTTAAATTTAAAATTAAATTTCAAATATTCAACAAAAATCCCTGATAGTTCAGGTAAGACTCCTTTGCAAACCTCTGCAAGTGGTCCTACCACAAATTCAGGCTCCTAGGAGCTTAGCAGACCCATAGAACAACGTCCTACATGCCCTACCTAAATTTGCATTAAAAAATAAGGGGGGGGGTTAATTCCACAAAGTTCTATCAGACACCTCTGTGCTGGGTGCTGGAGGCGTGCTTGACCACCACACCTCTGCCCTTAGGAACCCTGGAGAGAAATAGCTTGGCATCAGTTTTCCTAATGACAACAATTCAAAACCCTAACAAGACTGTTCAAAGCACAACTCTTAAATTCTAACAAATGTGCACACACATGGGAGTGTAAGTGCTAGAGCGTTCCAACCACATCCTAAGGGAAGTCCTAAAAGAGGTTGCTCGCCACGTTTGTTTCTGCCCTGCTGAATCAGTGTTACACCCAAGGCTCAGGAATCTTGCACAGGCCCCAGGGAGGGGAAGAACCACCTGTAAGTGGGCAGACCGTGAGCCTGGGACTGCTCCTTCCCCAGCTCTTCCTCAGGCTTTGGGCTGTGTTTCCGAGAGACACGCCCCCAGCCCACCCCCACGTACATGCTGTAATTGGCCAACTTCCTCCCTCAGCTCCTGGAATAGCAACCCAGACAAAAAGCAGTTAGCACGAGTGGCTTGGGCTTGCCAACGCTATAATTCAGGACAGAACCCTTGTAATTCTCCAAATGGTGGGGTCTTTAAATAGGCTGGACTTCAACACCCTGTTTTCTAAAAAAGAAAAATACAGCCTTGTCCAAGGCTTCACTCTTCTAACAAATGACGTGAAATGGTCCGACACTATGAATTCTGCACCTAAGCCTTCCAGAGTCGCACTGTTAAAATTCTATGGATTTAGGAGAGTCCTCCAGGGGTATATGTTAGCCCAGTTAGGCCTCTTTGTTTAGGCATCTTTAATCCTAAGGAAATACTTGAAATATCTTCTGTGGGAATGAATTTCTGTCCACTGACAACTGGCAGATACTGCTACCCCACACTTCAGACCAGTGGCGTCACTAGGGTTGGTGTCACCTGGTGCAGCATTTCATGGTATCACAGCCCCCTCCATGGACTCCTCCCTTACCAAACCATACAGAATCCTTACTAATGTTTTTTTGTACCAATGTTGCCTGTAAATTGTAATCGCCGTGTATCACTGAATGTAACGGCAGTAGTAGTGACATAAACAACTAGCAAAATTAAAATGACACCTTTAAATAACAAGAGTGTGTGCAGACGAAACCACGTGATTCAAAGCATCACTGTAATTGGGTAATAATGACAGCTCGGACTGGAGTGCATTAGAAGGTTCAAAAAGTAGATCAGCACAGAGCATTATTAGCCTTTTTCATCAGCTGGGCTTACAAAACCTGTTCCTGTTGTTGTAACTACAGGAATATTTTTATTTAAAAAAAAAATAATAAACTTATGCTGAAATGCCACACAAAGGTTTTATAGACATTTTGGCATCACCCCCTCTGGCAGTATCATGCGGTGTGGCCCACACGCCCCTAGTGACGCCACTGCTTCAAACCTCATGATGTGGCCCTACCTGTGAGCAGGGTGTGGAAGGCTGTGAGATCAAGGAGCAAAGACATGGTGGGCAGAGAGGGGCCTGTGTTTGCATAGTTCTTTCACTAGAGCTCAAGATGCCATGGTCCCCATTCAGGAGAGAACCTGGGCGTGGGGCAAAGGTCATGAGGTGCCCCTGTGAGCATCCACAGAGCTCCTGCCCTGGCTCACTGAGGAGAAGCGTGCATGGCACAGGCCTGTTGCTCTGGGCCCCCACCTTGGGGAGAGAACATCAGAAATTACAGGAACAGGACACACCAGGGAGCAAGGGTGTGCTTCTCAGCAAGCTTCTTTATGTGCTCCTCAAGGGGGAAGTGGCCCAGGGCCGTGCTGGACAGACTCACTGGCAAGTGCCTGGTGATGCTAGGAGCAGGGTACACTGGGATTCCTAAACATGGCAGCTTGGGACACTCACCCAGGGCCTCCCCTGTTGGCCTCTAGAAGAGGGGCAGTGGGGGGCACCCTGGAGTTACAATTTCCCCTCCTTGACAAGTCTGTCATTGAGATGGCAGAGTTGGGCCAGGAAACCATCGTTGGGGCCAATCTCACGGTTCTGCCTCACGATGCTCAGAGCAGACTTGACGTCCATCTTCTGACGCATCATGAGGTACGCGATGAGTAGAGTCGGGGAGCGGCTGTAACCTTCCCGGCAGTGGACAAGCACTCGGCCTGGAAAGAATAGGGAAAACATCATGAGCTGAGATGTCTAATCACATCACAACCCTAGTCCATGAAACTCTTCCATGAAACGCAAACAAAAACCACAATGCGATGCTGTTGTGTGCCCACCAGAATGGCTAAATGAAAAAGATGGAAAACACAAAATGTTTGTGAGGATGTGGTATTAGAATCCTAATACATGACTGGAGGGGTGTTGCCTGGTACAACCAGTTAGGAAAACTGTCTGGTTGTATCTACTAAAGCTGAACACACGCATCCCTATGATCCAGCAATTCCACTCCCAGGTACATGACCACAGAAGATGTACACATGTTCACTACAAAAATACACCAGAATGTTTATAGTGGCAGATGATGTATGTCTGCTGATTCCAACTCTAAATGTCTTTGCCGACACCAACTGCAACTAGTCATTTCAACTCTCTGCTATTGGGACACTAACTGCAATGCTGTTGTCCTGACCTCAACCACCAGAGTTACGTCAGACCTCACTGTCCTCTCCACTGCCAAGTCTGCCCAAGACTTCAGACACCAGTCAGAAGCTCAGGGATCCAAGGACACCTGCACTTCTGACCAACTAGCTACAAATTCAGAGGTTCTCGCTACCCCCTCAGCTCCACAAGGGCAAGGATGTCTGTCTGTTCTGCCCCGAGCCACACCTGTAGCACTCGGCAAAGGAACAAAGGAACGAATGGCAAGGAGATGGCGGAGGGCATCATCAGAGAAGTCCCAACAGGTCAGGGGAAGAATTCTCTCTCCATGCCTGCCCCGAGAGGTCCTCAGCACTTCTCACATGCACCATCCTGACATCACCAAACTGAGCTCTCCGGCTCTCTGCCCTCACCACCACCAATCCACACACCTTTCTAATACAAATATGACCTGCCACCATTTGTAGGGTAGAGTCTAGTCTCCAAGGTATGGCTCACAAGGCCAACTTCCCATGGCTACAACACCTTTCCATGTTCTTTTCCATCTCTGTGCCTTTGCATACACTGTTCCCTCCATATGGAACATCCTCTCGCTGTTGACTATCTTCATCCCTTAAGACTCTGTGGTGGTTATGTTTGTGTGCCAACTCAGCTGGGCCTGGTTGAGTGGCTGGGCAGCTGGTCGTAGTTATTCCCCATGATGAGACTGGCAATCAACTCCATGGTGGGATCTACCAAAAGCAGCTGAGTAGCTAGCTGCCTTTGGGATGTGGTCTGCTTCCTGTATTTAAGGAGAAGCCTTGGGGATAGTCTCTAGCTTACAGCATGCTTGGACCCTGTGTGTAGCCATGTCATTGTTCAGCAGCCTGCCATGTTCTGCCGACCTTGAGACTTACAATGGACTTGAATTAATGGCCTGCTGTGTGGTTTGGTAACATTGGGACTGTGCCATTTTATTTGTCGACCTTGGGCTTGTTAGCCTCAGCAGCCAGCAGCTGTCTGAGTGAAGAAAAGCCTCTAGCTTCAGTGGGCTGGCAGCAAGAGGCAGAGCTGAAACCCAAGGTCGAGGGGCTTTCACACAGCCCCTAAAGCCTGGCACTTTGAACTCTGACTTCTAGCCTCCAAACTATAAGAGAATAAGCTCCTATTTGTTCAAGCCATCCCATTTGTGGTATATTTCTGTCAGAGAGGCACTAGGTAACCAGAACAGACTCCATCAGGAATTGCCATGGTCAGCATAGAGACTTGGAAGCCAAATTTTCAAAGTCATATAAACCTGGGTTTAAATTTTAACTTGCTGGTTATTAACTATTTGACCCACTTAACCACAGAGGAAGGAGCCCTCTGGTGGTACAACAGAAAGCGCTCAGCTGCTTCTGTGAAGATTTATAGCCTTGGAAACCCTATGGCACAGTCCTACCTGTCTGACAGGGTCTCTATGACTCAGAATCGACTCAATGGTAATGGGTTTTATTTTGTTTTGTTAATCTCACGGTTCTTCAGTTTTCATATCTACGCAATTAGTGCCCAGTGCACAAGGTGGTTAAGGTTAAACAAGACAACATATAAAGCTCTTAGGCTAGTGCTGGTTTACAGGAGCACATGCAGTAACTATTCCCCAACAGTGATTCCTCGGGTGGCACCGAGTACATCCACTAGTACAGCAGCCTGAGTCCTGTGTTACTGTTGGCCACACAGAGATCAACTCTCCTCTTCCAGATTGTGAATTCCGTAAGGGGAAAAACTGTGGAGTATTGATTTTTAGATGCCCCTGCAATCTCTGGCACATACTAAATGCTCTGTAAATATATGCTGCCTAACCTAGTGAATGATTACCCACAAATGTCTCTGTTGTTGTTGTTAGATAACATCGAGTTGGCGCCGACTCATAGCAAACCTAGGTACAACAGAACGAAACACTGCCCAGTCCTGTGCCAGCCTCACAGAACAAAACGCTGCCTAGTCCTGTGCCAGCCTCACAATCCTTGCTATACGTGAGCCCATCTTTGCAGCCACTGTGTCAATCCATCTTGTTGAGAGCCTTCCCCTTTTTTGCTGACCCTGCACTTTACGAAGCATGATATCATTCTCCAGGGAATGGTCTCTTCTGACAACATGACCAAAGTAGGTGAGACGAAGTCTGGTCATTCTTGCTTCCAAGGAGCATTCCAGCTGCACTTCTTCCAGGACAGATCTGTCCATTCTTCTGGCAGCCCTTGGTACTTTCAGTAATCTTTGCCAACACCACAACTTAAAAGCATCAACTCTTCTTCCATCTTCCTTGGCTCGTTGTCTGGGTTTCACATGCATATGAGCTGATTGAAAATACCATGGCTTGGGTTGGATGCACCTTAGTCTTCAAAGAGACATTTTTGCTCTTCAGGACTTTAAAGAGGTCTTTTGCAGCAGATTTTACCCAGTGCAAATCCTAATGATGTGGATGGAGTAAAGCTTTTGGGAGCTCCACTTACTGATGTGGCACAACTCAAAATGAGAAGAAACAGCTGCAAACATCCATTAATAATCGAACACAGAATGTATGAAGTATGAATCTAGGAAAATTAGAAGTTGTCAAAAATGAAATGGAACGCATAAAGATTGATATCCTTGGCATTAGTGAGTGAAAATGGACTGGTTTTGGCCATTCTGAATCGCACAACCATATGACCTACTATGCCAGGAATGACAATTTGAAGAGGAATGGTATCGTGTTTGTCGTCACAAGGACTGTTTCAAGATCTGTCCTGAAGTACAATGCTGTCAGTGAGAGGATGATATCCAAATGCCTACAAGGAAAACCAGTTAATACTGCTATTACTCAAATTTATGCACCAACCACCAAAGCCAAAGATGAGGAAACTGAAGATTTTTACCAATTTCTGCAGTCTGAAATTAATCAAACATGCAATCAAGATGTGTTAATTATTACTAGTGACTGGAATGCAACAGTTAGAAACAAAGAAGAATCACCAGTAGTTGTAAAATGTGGCCTTGGTGATAGGAATAATGCTGGAGATCACATGATAGAATTCTGCAAGACCAACAACTTAACTCATTGCAAATATCTTTTTCAACAACACAAACAGCAGCTATACATGTGGACCTCACCAGGTGGAATACACAGGAATCAGATCTACTACATCTGTAGAAACAGGTGATGGAGAAGCTTAATATCTTCAGCCAAAACAAGGTCAGGACCTGACTGTGGAACAGACCATCAACTGCTCATATGCAAGCTGAAGATAATTAAAACAAGTCCACAAGAGCCAAAATATGACCTTGGTTTTATCCTTCCTGAATTTAGAGAACATCTAAAGAATAGATTTGAAGCACTGAACACCAGTGAGTGAAAACCAGAGGAATTACAGGATGACATCAAGAACATCATCCACGAAGAAAGCAAAAGGTCATTAAAATGACAGGAAAGGAAGACAAGACAAAATGGATGTCCTAAGAGACTCTGAAACTTGCCCTTGTACAGAGAGTCGCTAAAGGAAATGGAAGAAATGACAAGATAAAAGAGCTGAATAGAAAATTTCAAAGAGCAGCTTTAGAAGACAAAGTTAATTATTACAATGAAATGTGCAAAGACCTGGAGTTAGAAAACCAAAAGAAGAACATGCTTGGTATTTCTCACACTGAAAGAACCAAAGAAAAAATTTAAGCCTCAAGTTGCAATATTAAAAGATTCTATGGGCAATACACTGAATGATGCAGGAAACATCAAAAGAAGACGGAAGGAATACACAGAGTCTGTAGCAAAAAGAATTGGTCAGTGTTGATCCATTTCAGGAGGTGGCATATGATCAAGAACCAATGGTACTGAAGGAAGAAGTCGAAGCTGCACTGAAGAAATTGGCAAAAAACAAGGCTCCAGGAATTGACAGACCACTCATTGAGATATTTCAACAAACGGATGTGCTAGAAGTGCTTACTTGGCTATGCCAAGAAATTCAGAAGACAGCTACCTGGCCAACTGACTGGAAGAGATCCATATTTGTACCCAATCCAAAGAAAGGTGATCCCACACAATGTGGAAATTATCAAGCAATACTGTTAATATTGCATGCAAGCAAAATCTTGCTGAAGGCAATCCAAAAATGGTTGCAGCAGTATATTGACAGGGAAATTCCAGAAATGCAAGCTGGATTCAGAAGAGGACATGGAATGAGGGGGGATATCACTGTTGATGTCAGATGGATCTTGTCTGAAAGCAAAGAATACCAGAAAGATGTTTGCTTGTGTTTTATTGACTATGCAAAAGCATTTGATTGTGTAGATCATAACAACTCATGGATAACATTGAGAAGAAGGGGAATTCCAGAACACTTAACTGTGCTCATGAGGAACCTGTACACAGACCAGGAGGCTGTCATTCCAACAGAACAAGGGGATACTACTGCATGGTTTAAAATCAGGAAAGGAGGGTATCAGGTTGTATCCTTTTGCCATACTTATTCAATCTGTATGCTGAACATATAATCTGAGAAGCTGGACTATATGAAGAAGAGTGTGGGATCAGGATTAATAACCTGTGATATGCAGATGACACAACTTTGCTTGCTGAAAATTAAGATGATTTGAAGCACTTATTGATGAAGATTAAAGACACCAGCCTGCAGTGTGGATTATATCTCAACATAAAGAAAACAAAAAATTCCCACAACTGGACCAAGAAGCAACATCATGATAAATGGAGAAAAGATTGAAGTTGTTGTTGTTAGGGGCTGTCAAGTCACTTCCAACTCATAGCAACTCTATGTACAACAGGACAAAACACTGCCTGGTCCTGCACCTTCCTCACAATCATCGCTATGTTCAAGCCCATTGTTGCAGCCACCGTGTCAATCCGTCTTGTTGAGAGTCTTCCTCTTTTTCGCTGACCCTCTACTTTACCAAACATGATGTCCTCCTCTGGGGACCGTTCCCTCCTGATAACATGACCAAAGCACATGAGATGAAGTCTTGCCATCCTCACTTCCAAGGAGCATTCTGAACCTACTTCTTCCAAGACAGGTAAGTTTGTTCTGGCAGTCCATGGTATATTCAACATTTATGCCAACATCATAATGCAAAAGTATCAATTTTTCTTTTGTCTTCCTTATAAATTGTCCAGATTTCACATGCATATGAGGTGATTGAAAAGACCATGGCTTGGGTCAGATGCACTTTAGTTCTCAAAGTGACATCTTTGCTTTTTAACACAAAGGAGGTCTTTTGCAGATTTGCCCAATGCAGTATGTTGTTTGACTGCTGCTTCCATGGGTGCTGATTGTGGATACAAGTAAAATGAAAGGAAATCTGCTAGCCTAGAGTCAAACATAGCCTCTTCTGCTCCATCACCCCCAAAACACTTTATTTTTCTAATACTTCCCAAATCAGAGAGCAGGAAGTCTTCCACTTTGCTCCCATTCACTTTCCAGCTAGTTGCCCCAAAGCACTCAGAGTGGAGCCCCCCTGGCCCTGTCCTGGGAGTCAGACCCTCTGCAGAGCAGCCACCTTTCCACCTCAATGTACTCTGTGTTCCCAGGTCACACAGAGCCTACTCGGGGGAGGTTTTCAACATCCCATGCTTCCGGGCCCAGCACAGATGCCACTTCCTCCAAGAAGCCTCCCTTGATGTTCCTGGGTGGAAGTGACTACTCCCTCCTTTGAGAACCCCTGACTATTCCACCAGCTCTCCTGGTGATGGGCTCCTTCGGCGCCCATGGCCCAGAGCTATGCACACAGAGGAAGGCCAGGGTGTTTCTTGTGACTCACTAGGCCAGCTGATCTCAGGAGCACCTACACTTGGCATTAGAGCCCACGGAATTCACTTCTGTCCCTCGTCGGGTAAGTATTCACAGTACACCTAGCATGTGCCCGATACTATATTAGGTTCTGGGGAGACAGATAAGGGGCACAGTGGACCAAACCTGAGAGAAGATTTCATGGAAGAAGAGGGGACACTTATATCCAGCACTAAGTACAGGGTGGAGTTTGCCAGAGGACAGGGAGAGAGAGGCAGAGAGGACTTTCTAGACTGAAACCCCAGCCCACCTGGGCTAATGCAGGAGAACACAAAAAGTCAAGCTGTACAGAAAGAGGAAGCAAAGTCACAGAGGTCTAAGTCCACTGCTGGATAGGAAGAGCAAAAGAGCCCTTTGTTCTCCATCAATACAGAGGGAGGAGTTCAGGGCTGCTGGAGTGGAGGAGGGGAGCTCTGGTGGCGTAGTGCCTAAGGCATTTGACTGCTAACCAGAAGGCTGGTGGTTCAAACTCACCAGCCACTCCTCGGAAGGAAGACTGGGCAATCTACTTTCCTACAGATATTGCCTCGGAAACCCAAGGAGGGGTCACTATGAGCGGAATCCAACTTGACGGAATTGAGTTTGGTTCAGTTTTTGGTTTGGAGTGGAGGGTGCTGGGCTGGGCTAAGGGGTGACAGGGACATGACGTGAAGGGCCTGACAGTGAAGCCCACAGGTTCCCTGGTGTCCTGGGCCCCAGCCAGTGGTCTGCTAAACTCAGCTTGCTAGAAATTGTTCAGATGGGGAGGCTGCTGAGCACAGAAGCATCAGTGTAGCAGAGACAGGCTAGAGTCAGGGGACAAGGCCCATCGCAGCTCAATGGGAGGTCGCCTCCTCCTGGAGGGCTTAAGGTGGGGAGGAGGAAGAGGTTGTAAGAAGCAGCAAAAGATAAAGGGAGGAGCCGAGAGAAACAAACAGAGAACAGAAAGGGCCAGAGACCCAGCCTGCTGAATCGCTATCTGTGTTGTCTGGCCTAACACTGTTTCTCTCTGGGGTGGGCAGGCCCCTCAGCAGCTCTGCCTCAGTCTTATCTTATGTTCAGGAGCTGCAGAAAGCATTTTATACGTGGCTAGAAAAGAACCCTCAGGGAAAATCAAATCAAACACCAGGACCCCAGGTTGCCATCATGTGTCTTACAAGGTCCCAAAAGCACTTAGTCATCCACCATAAGAGATGGGAAACCAGGGGGTTTCCAAGAGGAGGTCTGTGTGGCCCGTTTTCTGTAAGGACAGTCCAGCCAAAACTGTCTCACATTTTTTTTTTTCCTGGGCAGCAGGCTCCTTACCATTCTTTTGAGCCAGGGCCTGGTCAATGAAGTCTGCGGCCTTTTCAAAGAAGGCGCCGAGGTTGAACTCCTGTGTGTCGTTGGCCTTGATGCCCAAGTAGGTGATGCCGGAGTCCTTGTAGAAGTTGGCATTGGTGTTGACATGCATGAAGGACCTGCCCTCAGCAGCGTTCAGGACGTGGGTGATGCCCAGTTTCTGCAGCTTGGGGATGTCTTGAGCCACAGACCTGGATAGGAGACAGCGCAAGGGATGATAAAAGGATTACTGACAGCACTAATGGGAAGAAGACAGGGAAGGAGCTAAGCCCTGCAGCAAAGCAAGGAAACCCTCTACGGTCCGGCCCTGCCAGCTTCTCCAGCCTCATTTCATGACCCTTGCCCCACTGCAACCCTATCGGATAACCAGCAGCTTCTCCAAATAGACCCAGCCGTTCATGCCCATTCTGCCCTCCGGCTGGAGTGTCCTCCCCCACCTTCTCTGTGGACAGGCCCCCTCTCATCTTTCACCCTGTCTGCAAATACTGTCTGCAGTATTTCCCCATCTCCCCTCCATTCCATCACGCTCCCTATACCGTGGTGGCTAAAAACGGACCCTGGAGCCGAATTGCCTGGCTCGGAGTCCAGCTCTGCCACTTATCAGCCAGGCAACCTTGAGCAGGGTACTTAACTTTTCTGTGCCTCAGTTTCCCTCTCCATAAAAATGGGGGTGATCATAATAGAACCTACTCCCTGCAGTTGTTTTGAGCGTTAACTCCACAGACAGAGCCTGACACATGACAGGTGATAGCTACTATTCAAACAAGGAACCCTGGTGGCGCAGTGGTTAAGCCCTCAGAAGCTAACCCTAGATGTCAGTGGTTCGAACCCACCAGTTGCTCCAAGGAAGAAAGATGTGATGGTCTGCTTCCATAAAGATTACAGCCTTGGAAACCCTGCGGGGCAGTTCTATTCTGTCCTATAGAAATGGCAATGGATCTATTGGAACTCTCTGCTGTGTGTGCTCATTTCCATGTTCAGGCTGTGCGCTCCTAGAGGGAGGACGCCTGGCTGCTTCAGGTGTGTATCTCCAGCACCTGCTACAGGATGTGGCACACAGAAGGTGCCGGGTACACAAGCAGTGAATGAGTGAAGGAGGAGGAAACTGTCACATGCCAGGCAGACCGTGTCCTTGCTTGGCTTATCAAGTGCAAGTGCTCTCTCCCATCCCACAGCGGTATCCTTCCTGCCACCCTCCACTAGCCGTCTTGCTGGAGCTCTCCTGGCTGAATTAGCACGGGAGGAGCAACTGAATTAAGAATGTTACGAACTACTAGATCTGAATAGTCCGATGGCCCATTTATTTCATCTCACAACATCTCAATTCAAATGGCAGTTTACACTTTCACCCACACGATCTGGATTGTCCAACCCAGGTCCACAAGGAAGGAAGGACAGCGGTATCTGGACCTGACAGAGCTCAACTCTGACCCCCACAGGACAGGCGGAAGGATGCGAGTGTGCTCACATGGGCTGCTGAGCAGTGGAGCAGAGAGCAGACTTGGTTTCCTGACACCCAGCTGGCTGCCTTCCACCCCCTCTGCCTACTGTGCCCACATCAACTGCAAAACCCAGAGGCCCAGAAAGCGTGGCCCACACAGGCTCCATCTGTGCCAGGCAAGGCCATGGATGGAATCCTGGTTTTGCTAAGGGGCTCCCAGTGGGTGAAGAACCCAAGTCATCTTAACACTAGGTGCTCAGTTGATCCTCCCTGCTAAGTCCCCACCCCTCAGTCAAGGTCAGCTTTGCCTGGGGGAAGGGATATGTTTTCTAGGGTGGCCATCAGAACTTGTCACTCTGGCTACCCCCAGACATTCACGTCCCCACTGAGGATGTGGTGACAGTGGCATCTTGTCAGCTCAACCCTAGCTGAGCATGCAAATTGCCCAAAAGAGCAGGGTTCTCCTTTGTATCAAGGCCCACTTGCTGTGTGGGTGGTTTGGGGGGGTGGTCCTCAGAATTCTGCAAGTATTAGGGCCTTTGGCAGAGACTATGGGAGTCTGTTTTAGCTGTTGCTGCTCACAATACCACACACGACTATAAAGCAGTGGCCAAGAGAAAACATGACAATAAGATAATGAGCTTTGGGTTGTTATGCTCACCATCATTAGCCATCAGACAGATGCAAATCCAAAGAACAGGGAGATACCATCTCACCCCAGAATTAACAGCAAGTTTAAAAAAAAAAAAAAAAAAGTTAAAAAAAAAAATGCTGGGTGTAGAGAGACTGGAACCCCATACACTGATGGTAGGGACTATGACATGGTACAATCATTGTGGAGAGCAGAATGGCACTTCTTCAAAAATTTGGAAACAGAAATACCATATGACCCAGCAATCCTACACTAGGTATATATCCTAGAGAAATAAAAGCTGTGACACGAGCAGATATATGCACACCCATGTACACTGCAGCACTATTCACAATAGTAAAAAGATGAAAACAACCTTAGTGCCTACCAACAGATAAAGGGATTAACAACCCATGGTACATACACACAAGGAACACTACATACTTGCAATGTTAAAACATAAATGATAAATATGCAAGAGACTTCATAACATGGGTGAACCTAGAGGACATTATGCTGAGTGAAATTAGTTAATCCCAAAAGGACAAATATTATATGAGACCACTACTGTAAAAAGTGAAGAAAAGGTTTACACACAGAATCATTCTTTGAAGTTTACCAGGATGGGAGGGGAAAGCAGGGTAAATCAATAACTAGAGGGGAGACAGGTATTAACTTGGGTAAAGATAAAGGAAATAAGGCACAAATGATCAAGGCAAAGGAAGACATGGGAAGAGCACAAGAATTAAAAGCAACAAAGGTGAATACTCTTAGGTACACAATCCAGCAATAGCAACAACCACGAACTAGCCTGAAGAGCAGCTCCTGTTTGTCTCCCTTCTCCAACACTAATTCAACAGCCAACAAACTCATCCACCAGCGTCATTATCACTGTTACTGAAAGTAATGAGCAGCACGGGCGCCTGAAACACAGTAGGTACTCAATACGGTGAACAAACGGTGGTGGATGAGGCCCAGGGCAGTCCTAGGCAGGCTAAGGCGCAGGTACTGATCTGGGAAGGAGGATACAGGGTGAACAAGACATTGATTCTGTCCTCCCAGTCCCTCAGCCTCTCTAGGGTAAAAGGGTAATTTCTCCAGGGTAAGTAATTTCCTCCAGCGTAAAAGGACAGCCATGGGTTACTTCCGCGTTTCCAACAGGCGGTTCTTGGGTCAATGGAACTTAGAAAGTTTCTAACAGTCCTCAGAATCTCATGAAAATCCAACTGAAGCCTTCTCCAGGCTGTACCCACGTGCTAATTCATTCTTTGCTTTGGGCTGCATTTCAGCATCTCTCAGAATGGTTAACACTGGCTTTCTCTCCTGTTGCTGGGAAATTCTTACCAGAGTTTGACTAAGAGGGAAATTTCCCCGTTTTGGTCATGGGACCTTAGAAGTCATAAATAACAAATGCATTTCCTGGCAATGAGAAGGTCGGGGGTCTTTTCTAGGTGAAGGGTCAGGTCCTTACGAGGTCTATCACTGCACTGTTCTAGAACCCCATGTAAATCGAACCCTATCCGGACGGCGGGAGAAGGGACGAGGAAATTGCAGCCTAGCTCTCTGGATCTCTGTTCGGGAGATTTCGATTCCCGGGTCTGAGCCTGCCGAGTCGGAAAGTTCCAAGCCCGATTGTGACGTCACCCCGTTGCCATGGCAGCGAAGGCAGACATTCCGCGGTGACCTCACTGCAGACCAGGCAGCTGTCACATGACGCGCAGGCAGGAGACTGACCGGCCCGGCGACAGCAGACCACCTGTTCAATGAATGCAGAAGCCCGACCCCGCCCAAGGCCGATCCGCTGGCGGTCGGAGGCTTTTGGCCCGACGCCGAGCTGGCCGGGTGGCCTACCGGATCCCGGGTCCCCCGGGCTCCATGCACCCAGCGAACCGGAGACCCAGCGCTGATGCAGGGCGGGGCCCAGCCCCTCCGCCCCCCGGAGCCGGGATTTGCCTCGGGTCCCCCTCCCCCGCCCCGCCGCTGTTCGGAAAGGGCCGACCACGCCCGGGCTCCGCGATCCGCGCCTCGCGGCACCTCGATCCCGGCTTTCCGGTGGGCGGGGCGCCCGGGGAGGGCGGGCGGCTGGGGCGACTCACGCGTTGCCCACGTAGATCCTTGGGGTGACCTCGTTGCAGGGCTGGCTCGGGAGGCTGTAGCAGCCGCTGCCGTCCGAGAGCAGATCGTTGAGGTCCTGCACCGAGAGCTCGCGCGGGCCCGCCATGGCGGCGGCCGGGCCCTGCACGCCGGGACAGGAGCGAGCGAAGGGAACAGGCGCCGGGTCAGCTGGGCCGGGACTCCCGCGCCGAGACCCGCCCCGTCCCGCCCTGGGGGCGGGCCCCGCCGCGCGCGGGAAGCTGCGGAGCGCTAGGCGCCGCAGCGCCCGCAACCACCCGCGCTCCATTTCGCAGTAATACGGCGCCGGGAGCCGAGCAGACACGCCCGAAGACCCCTGGGCCTGTCCTCGGGGGCGGAAATACCGCCACTTTGGAGTTTAGGGGTCCTCTCCCCACTCCCAGCTAAGACATTTTCTTTATCGTTGTTAACTGGGAAGTGCAGTAACTTCCTTCACCAGAGCAAATGCAGGACGCAATAAATGCTACTATTGACGGAGGTGCACCCACGTGTCGGTCAGTTTTCTGGATGACAGGGACCCCGGCTTCTGTTTCTGAGCTCTCACTCTGCTGTGGACCAGCAGTATTAACATCACCCAGGGAGCCCGTCGGAAATGCAGGTTCTCCGCACAGGTCCAGACCAGCGAAATCAGAGTATGCAATTACCAAGATCCCTGAGGATTCCTGTGAAAGTTAAAGTTTGAGAAGCTCTGCTCTGGGGCACAGAGTTTCAACACTCATTTAGAGTCCACATGGTGCTTCAAAGCTTGGCTGGGATCAATGCAGTCAGCCTTGGGATTCTGAGCCTCAGTTTGTTCGGAAATGGCTAGAACACTACCACCTCACTGCCATGGAGTCATTTCCGACCCATAGCGACCCTTGGGTTTCCAGGGCGATATCTCTATGCAAGTAGATTGCTCAATCTTCCTTCCAAGAAGTGACTGCTGGGTTTGAACCACCAGCCTCCTGGTTAGCAGTCAAATCCCTTAGGCACTACCAGAGCTCCCAACTTCTTGGGTTGTTGGAAAGATTAAAAGTGACATTCAAGGCCAAATGCCCAGCCACACATAGTGAACCCAGCACAACCAAGTGAGCATTTGATAAGTGTTAGCTGAGCACCTACTATGTGCTGCACCCTGTGCTAGTGTGGAGATGAATCCGGCTCTTTTGCAACCCTCTCTGGAGCAGCTTCCATCTCTCTTTGAGCCACACAGTGTCCGACTTGGCCAAAAACAGTCTCTATCCTTGAAGACAGCCACACTCCCCCACTGCTAGGAAAATGCAGACCTCCTCCCTAAAAGAGAAATATGGTCCCTGGAATTGAGGAACCCACATCTCAAGCCCAGCCCTGCCACTGACTTGCTTTGTGCTCTTGAGCAGTTTCATAGCCTCTCTGGGTTTTAGTTACATCAAAAAGGAAGGAATTGGATCAGATTATCTTGAAGGTCACCTTTCATTTCCAAAAAAAAAAACCTCTAGTCTCACACTTTCAGATAAACCATTTCAGGAGAGAGTACTCAAGTTAGAGCAGCCCCCGATGTGGAACCAAGGTTGGAATTTCTTAACCCTGTGCCTTCTCTCCTCTCCCAGAACACCACACCTTTTCCTTCCAGTGTCGGTGCCACCTGCAGACCAGGCAGGTGAGAAAGCTTCCTAGCCCCTTGCCCCTCATCTTGACTTGGGCCTAGGTTGGCATTCAACACAGAAGCCCAGGGACTGCCAGGTAGGCTCTGCTATGCCTACACCTTTCCTGACACCTGTCCCTGATGTCATAACTGGGTAACTATGACAACTTTTTATAGGACAGCTAAGCACTTCACAGAGGAGCCGGGGTGCCTCATTTCTGAAGTGAGATTAGGAAGAAAAGATGAACAATTCCCTGGATTACCTGGCCTACCCTGTAATCGTCTCTAATCACAGGCAAAGCACAACCTTCAGGAGGAAACTGGACTATGGCCACTACATATTTCACAAGAATAGAATACAAATAGGTACGTGGGGAGTTTGGTCTGGCTACTGCTGTTAGGAGTTCTGGAAGGGGCTGCCATAGAGATTTTGACAGCAAACCAGCCCACAGTTTTGCAATGGTATAACCTTGTCTGCTGAATTTGGTTAAGCGGACATTAGCATCAGTGATGACGTTTATCTTCCACCAGGGAGTTCATTTGATGTGAACACTCATTTAAACTCTTCAAGGCCAAAGTAACCTAGAAAGAGAATAGGCCTTCACAATAGAGAGCCCAGTGCTGTCGGGAGACGGTGGGAGAGAGCTCTGCAGTTGGGTTAGAAGGACAGTTATCTCTGGAAATTTTACTTTTTCTAGCCCTCACCGTTCTTTGTTTTCTACTCAAAAGTCTTCAAAGGTGACAGTTTGAGAGATTAAATCAAACCAGAATTAATGAACTGGATTAAGCTCAGAATTCGAAATCGTAATATTTGCTGGCATTCTTACCTAGCGCGTTCATAGGTTTTCTGAGGCTGTTACAAGGACTCCTGTGTTACCACGTCTCTTTTCTCCTTGTTCTCTAGTGAAGCCGACTGTTGACACCAGACCTCCAATGGCGCACACACACCACATTTTAAAGTTGAGCAAACTACAGGTATTTGTTCCTGCCGTCCGCAGACACGTTGTACTGGTTTTTGTCTATGCCTGGAGTCCCCAAGGGAAGTGAATGGTTAACGCGCTTGGCTGCGAACTGAAAGGTTGGCAGTTTGAGTCAACTCACAGGGCCTCAAAAGAAAGGCCTGGCGATGTACTCCTGAAAAATCGGCCACTGAAAATCCCATGGAGCACATCTCTGCTCTGACACACATGGGGTCGTCACGACTCAAGAGTTGCCTGGGCAGCAACCAAACACCAGGATCAGCTGGTTATTATCTCTGTCCTAAAGAGGTCCAATTTCCAGGAGGCTTCTGAATACCAGCTAAACCAAAGACTTGTGATACGGCTCCTCCCCCTCCACAGAGCCCCTAGTTTCCTAATCTCTACTCCCAGTCTCTGCAGTGGCCACTCAATCTGCCCCTTTGCCACCTCCGCAGAGAAGGGTGATGCTAAGGGATTGTATGTTGGAGCACTGTAGTGATGTCACCATGGTGGGGTGGGGTTTCTTACCAGGGTGAACAAAAGAGAATTGACAAAATTGAGTATGAAAACAAGCAACTGTGTCAGAAAATCGCAAATGCACACCGTGGCCCTGCCAAGGTGGACTGCTGGAACGAATATTTCTCCAAGAGGTAGTGTTCTTCCTCCTCATTTCATTTCTAAAAAGGCTCAGCCCCTTGTTGCATGTTAGCGTGAGGATTCCCAAAGGGGAGAAGTCCTTAAGGAAAGTTATCTTGAGGGAACACCGGAGACTGTATTAAGAATGAAAATTATGAACATGAGGCCCTTTCTCTAGCTCTAAGGAGCCACTGCATGTCATCTAAGGGACACTTTGGAGTCTTATCCACAGTTTGTCACAAGAATGCACTGAATACTTTCATAAAATGATGACATAGTTGTGACTATGACACAGCACTCTTAAATTCAGTTCTCTTAAATTCCATTTCCTGACTACCTACTTATGCACTAGGCAACAGGAATACAGAGAAAAGCTAAGAGATCTAGTTCCTAGCTTGAAGAATGCATGGCCTAGTGGGGGAGACATTTATGTAAATAACACCTAGGCAGTGTGACTAAGGCTAAAGAATTTAGCAAGGTCAAGAATTCACTGGGCGTATGTGGGTGTGTATGTGGGATTGTCCAGGTGCTTTTCCTATGATCTTGATGATCCCAAATGGAGACAAAAACTGAAGGGAGCAAGGTGACTCAAAACTTGTTGCCAGCCATTTGAGATACAGACCTCCCTCTATCCCATAGCCCCATCCTAGGCCCATCAGTAGAATCTTCCAGTGGTGGGCAGCCAGGTTGATGTAAACCTACAGATGCTTTGCATGTTTCCCAGGATGCAGTCTGGTTCAACAGCCAGGTACAACCAGGTATGCTGAGGCCTCAGGGTTCAGGGAGAGTGTACTCCCTACCCTGAGGCAGCCTGCATTAAAGGCATCATGACTTCCTGGCCTCCCCCACTCCCATACCGGAAGAGCTTTTTCTTCTTCATTCATCTCAGGGATTTTTGTGGTTTTCAGCTTAAACAGAGAAACAAGGAACCGGGAGCTCGTGAGAATCACCATGGAAAACCAGGGTATTCTGAAGAGGCTTGGTGATCGCAAACCCCACTATGACCACAGGGCATCCGAGATAGACTGGCAGGTACGTGGGCACTCTTGTTATTCTCATGTACCCACAAGGTTCCTGTGTTCAGAGGAGGGACCCCTGGGCAGCTGAGGGACAGCACGTGTGAAATGCAACAATCATTCGAAGAAAAACCACCCAAAGCAAGCAGAACTAACAACACAAGCAAACCACTAGAGAAGTCTCCATGGTAGCAAAGCTATTATGTGTCAGTTTCAGAAAGTAGTTTATAGCATCATCCCTCATCCCTTAATTCATTCAGGAAGGCTGAATGTATAAGCAAAGAGGAGGAAATGAATATAGGAGTTGGTGTGTGGTTGAATTGCTTCATTTAGGAATGACCCTTCAAAAATAAATAAATAAATAAGCCATCTCCGGTGTTTTAAAACACCTCCAATCTCTGGCTTTGGCCTGTATACATTTTCTTGGTCATCCTTAAGGTTTAAAACTTCAGCTTTATAGCACCAACCAGTACTCTGGCAATAACATAAATCTTTTCTTTTTTTTCTTTTCCTTTAAGAATTCAAGGCGCTATATCAAAAATACAACAAGGTATCTTCTCTCTCGAGATGAATAGGTATGTCTTAACACGGTTACCCTTGATTACCCAACACAGTAATCCTAGGGGACATAAAGGCCCTAAGAACTGTACTGATAGAGAACGTGGGGCCCAGTTAAAGGGATGAATTTTGGTCTTCTCATATCATATTGGGGAGCTCTGGTAGCACAGTGCTTAAAGCATTTGACTGCTAACCAGAAGGCTGCCAGTTCAAAGCCACCAGCCACTCCTCGGAAGGAAGATTGGGCAATCTACTTCCGTAGTGATACTGCCGCAGAAACCCAAGGTGGGGTCGCTATGAGTTGCCCAACTCGACG